TTTTTTCGCCGTTATTTTCTCGCTTCGTCTCGCAATATACCCTTCCCTATGCCCCCCCTCCCTTTTCCCAACCCCGCAGAACACTGTCGTTCTGCTTCTGCGGCACCGCATAATACTACTGCGAGAGATTATCTTAATGGCGTCACAACTTTCCTCGAGCATCATGTTATCGGGCCTTTAATACAACGTTAAGTACCGCACTTCTCGCAGGATCGTTGGGGTGCTAAGAACGACTCGCAAAAAATCGCGCCATTGCTGACGACAAACCTACGCTAAAATGATTTCACGCTATCTCGTCTTGGCATTTATCCGGATACACATTTCGTAATCTCCATTAGTTGTCCGAATAATTTACTTTCTTCAAATAATATCAAACATTAAATCGCCGTAATAGTATCATTTTTATATTAAATCGACTTATTCGTGCCAGAAAACATCTTCGAAAATAAAATCACTTAAAAATATCGTGTTTCAACCGCGACATCAAATTATTACGATAAGATAAATGAATATTTCATTTATTCTTGTATGAAATTATGTATATTGCTTAAAGCATTATTTCAATCCGCGATTAAATAATATTGTGAAACTGTGAAATTCAATCCCAATACATTCCTATTAAAATATAAAGCACATATCAAATTATTCACATAGAAAGAACCAAAAATAACTAAAGAATAAATCAAATTTAACTATTAAATGCGAATGAAAGCACGATTTAATTAATTTAAATCCTTCTGAATTATTTAAGCATATATAAAGAATCAGAAATAATAGTCAACACTACTTAAAAATTTAGTTATTGACGCAAACGGAGATTAATTTATTTAGACATTTTCCGAATTTGTCTCAAAACTTTAGCAGATCCAAATTTAAAAAAAATTTTTAAACTCACAAATTTAAAGCCGACCAAAATAAAGATCTACAAATTTAAAATGCAATATTTACTCTAGTAATCTATTATATAAAATCCAAGAATTCATTCCAAATCCAAAATTCATTACCGTTATGTACAATAATAAAAGATAAGTACAATAACAATATAAGAATTAGTAACCTTTGATAGCCAATATTTTTAGACATAATTCACGAAACGCGTTACCGTTTGCAACGGTCGTCCTGCATGTTGCACCTAGGACGGGGAGGCGGCTTAACAACGGTTGCACACTACGTACGATGCATTTATTAACGCTCGAGTGGCAGCAGGCGTGGGTGTCATGCACGGAATTACGTGTCGGTTGTTATTTTCCCGCGAAGCAGCGCGCGCGCGATAGGCGGCATACGGAATCACCCCAGGTGCCCGGGCGATAATAAGGCATGTCGTGACTGGAAAGTTGTAAACAGCGCTCCAGGTATGATAACGCGACGAGATTCCCGGGTACACTAAACGACAACTCTCGCTTACCTCTCTCTTATAGGTCTGAAGTTGGCACTCCAAAATGCGAATTTTTATTTTATTTATGTAGCATTTGATTATTCGTAATTTGACCACACTTGTCCATACATAATTCTTTTGTCCACTTTGCAAAGAAAAATTATACACGAACAAAAAGATTTAAAAAAAAAACACACATTTAAACTTCGTGAAAAAATTGTATTCCATTTTTTGTTTGAGTGTAATTATTTTTCTGCAAAGTGAACAAAAAAGTTATGTATGGACAATGTGATTAAATTTTGAACAATGCCATATAAGTTTTATAAAAATTCAAGGTGCTAACTTTACAGACTTCTCGCTTACACTGCGAGAGACGTATCGCGCCGCACAAAACCGTGAGATAAAGATCTCTGCACGAGGGATAAAGCGGCCGATTATGTTCCTGTAAGCTACGACGGTTTCCCGCAACAATCTTGCAGCGAGATCGTAGATAAGCGGTATTTCTATATTTTGCGGTCGCTCGAATGAAAGATTCGCGAGTTCGTAATCCGCGATTATCGGGACAACAAAACAAGCGATGTTCAAAGATTTCCAATTTTTTTATCGAATTTTTTTGTGTCACGCGATAATCTAATTACCGTTGACCTAATCGCTGAAACGTAAGTGAGATTCCACGTTAAACTCTAACGAACGGAAACAATTATTCGACGGCTCTTGCGATTCGTCGACTAACGTAAGCAGCTCGACCCCTTGTCTCCGTCATCATCGTCGTCGACGACGACGGCGAGATCATTTTACTCGCGTCTACACCGCTGGTTCTTCTTCAGCTTCACCGCAGAACTACAGCCTTAAATCATAACTACGGACCGCCGCTTAGAGTAGCGCAAGAAATGAAGACAAATGCTCGGTGGTGTTATGAAGGGGAAACGCGATAGCCGTGAGCACGAAGAGTCGTTGCGTGCGCTCCTTGACGCTCTTCAAAGCGCAGGATTAGGCCGAGTGGGATGAACGAAGCAAAAGCGGACTTTAGAAAGTACGATGATAGTCCCTCAGTCTTCCTCCCTTTCACCCTTCCATTTCCAGCGTTGTTGATGAAAATTTGAACGATTTTATCCTCGTTTCACGTCACACCGTTTCTCCGTATCTCCTTCATCTCTCTTCGGGGAATTCTCCGAAAACGTTTCTCTGAGAACGTCGTCCAAAGTTCGGTCGTTCCCCGATGAACATCGGTCGGTCGATTAATTTTAAAACGAGCGGAGTCCGTCGTTTCGTTCGCAGACGCGTAACATCGTCGTTAACTTTCGGGACCCCGAGACTCGGACGACGTTATTATTACCGAGTTAAACCCTAACGTGAGAGCGAGGAGACTGCCACCGACGTATGAAGTTTAATCGTCGATTACCTCACCTGCCCGAAATGATGTACTCTATGTACCTCGACTATCAGCATGTTACGCAACCATGAAGTCTAATGTCGCACTATGATAAATTTATCTATTTTTTTCTCTCCATTTTCCTTTTTTTTGTTTTTGTAAAAATAAAATAAATATAAATGTAGTGAAATCTATCACATATTCGCCTGACCTATAACAGTTTTATGTTACTGATGTTAAAAAACAGAAATTTAAAAAATGACGGTTCTGTAAACGTCAACACATTTTTTATTAAACTTGATTAAATTAAATATCAAATTAAATTGATACAAAATTAAATTGATATAAAAATAAAATTTTAAATTAATTCCAACCTTTAACTTAATCTTAATTAGCAGCTTAGCAATAAAAATATTTAATGTGAGTTAAAATAATAACAAATATTTTATAGAAATATGACTGTAATCAATATTTTAATAAAAAGCAATTAAGTTTACAAATATATTCATAAAACACAGTTTCAAATTACAGTTCTAAAATATTTTATACCTTTGCAAATATTAAAATTAGAATACAAAGAATAAATTGGTCACTGTGTGATGACGCACAAAGCGTTTAAAAAACGGAATCTAGAACATTTGACTATTTTATAAGAAATTTATTTTTATAATAATTATTTATAATTTGATGAAATAAATAATTTCCAACGTAAAAAGTAGAAAACCATGATTGTGTTGTGCCGATAAGTCGATGAAGTTAAATGCCACTAGATGGCCCATTATCGGAACGAGAGAGATTCTCGACGCAGATAATAGATAAGCTACATCGAGAGCGCTTCAGCATGAAATTCAACGTGAAATACACGGCGGACGGAAAATTCTACCATTTGCATGTGGGGACGCACGAAAGGGAGAGAACAATAGTACCGCGTGAGTAATGTTTCAATTTTTTCCCTTAGGATCCTTTATATACACGACCACGAATATATACGCCGGATCCAGGAATACAAAGGTTGCCGTATATATTCGAAGACAGTACGGTACAGCCTCGATTCTTTCTCGATTATTCGCTAAGTAAATTTATTAATGGCGAAGAGCGTGCTTGTTCGATGTTGTTGCGACGAAAAGAAAATTATTCTGTACATGATACAGCTAAATCGAGTTACTGTAAATAACGCCGTTCCAATTATGAGTATCAAAAAAATAATTCTTGTAAAAATTTATCTTTCTAAAAAAGATCTTTCTCTCATTTTCAAATAAAGCGGGAGAAAAGTACTGTTTAATGTAACATTCCTTTTCAGCTTCATAAATAATTTAAACAGCATATAAATATTTATAACGAGCGTCTTTCACAAACATGTATCAGCCTTTCAACGCAGAGTCCGCTGTCAAGTAAAGAAATAATTTTCTAGAAATATGGCACTTACACAGCCCTTTTTATGTTGAATCTTTGATTATAGTAATTTTCACACAGGCGATAGAGCGAATTCCACAAGTAACGCATGATTACGTTCGCACGCGGTAGCCGTGCAGAGAATTTGATCGACACTTCTTGTTTTGATACACGATCGTTAAAACGCGAACGGCGGCGGCGGTGCCATGCACGCGACGCATAAATTGCAATTCGAAATCGCGTTTATCGGATTATCGAACGTAACGTACTGCATTAGCTTACTCTGGACCGATACTGGTTCATGAATCGTTTTCTCGAATATGAGATAAAGTTATATGAGATTTAATTAATCTTTTAGAGCTTTTCTACAGAAAAAAATGAAAAAGAGAACCAAATTCCTAAAACTCAATTAACAATATTAGCTCTATATGAAATATAAGCTGTCTTATGTTTTCTATGGATTATAGAAGATGGAAGAAGTCTTAGATTTATTACAATTACTCTATTCGATTAATATATAATTTACGTTACTAAAGTTTAATGTTTATGGAGACAAGTTTATAGAGACAAGATATATAAAGTGAATGCAAATTAATCTATCTTGTGCGCGTTCAAATAACGCAAATTATAATGTGTGTGCATCAAACCTTTCTCGGTAATCCTAATCTTATCATAATCTTTCAAGCCGTAGCAGTTTATAATAATAATAATCAATTTATATAAATTATTTAATTGGCAGATGCTCAAGAAGCAAGATACAGTTTTAAATCGTTCAAGTTTCTGTTCGAGACAGTTTTGAGTACCTATCAATATGATTATTCCGAATGAGAAAAACAATTATGCAATGAATAATTCACTCACCAACTGTTATGCACCTGCTACACGTTGCTATTCCGATGCTATTCCATCGATGCCAATTCTTGTTTGCTCCCAAGATTTGAAGATTATTCACTCACACGAATAAATCGCAAATCGCCAAAACGTAGTCGATCACAATCATCTGTGAAAATTAAGAATATATTTAAAAATGTTAATGTTACACTTTCGACGCGTATATATTTTCGTGTATTTACTTTTGACGCGGAAAGAATGCGAAAAAAACAAAAAATATTAACGATTTATAAACCTATACAAAAAATTATTGATATTGTTTAACGTTCGTAATGCGATCATCGCAAGTGTTTCATCGATCGATGAGTAATTGCTAATATTAACCAGAGAAGAAAGGTTATGATTATCTTATATTCCATGTGTATACGCTCACTTACTCTCGCCGATTAAAAAAAGAACAAACGTGCCGTGTTTTGTTTGGAGCCAAATATGCGGAGACACGACGTAAACATACTTTTATGCCTATTGAGCGCCTGACAATAACCGCCATTCCCGGAATTACGAAGGTCACGTATCGTCCTATCGTCATCTGTAAACACATTCACATTACCGTCTGTTGTGCTTTAAGCGGTGTACTGAGAACGCTTCCCATATTCCCTTGACATCTGTAGAAGACTAATTGCGCATATATGTAATCAAATCAAAATATCTGATATTAAGCAATTACCTTTCGATCGACGAAGGATTCCGATATCAAATCAGCCACTGCGCTGAGCGTTTCACTGTATGACGACGCATCGTCTTGAACTTGCCTATAACAGCCGTGACGATAGGCGTGAGACCCCTTCCATATAACTGTACGTCTTCCGCCAACCGTCGTCGCATTCGCGCCAGTTGCTATTACAAGAGTTTTCCCCAGGCTTCGATAAAAAATGTTCCGCCCCCATTTTGAGAAAAAATATCAGGTACTTACACACAATTGCGTGTTTTATTAACATAAACGCCGCGAATAATATACAGAGAATGATACGAACCGCTATACAGATGTCGCACATAAACGTTGAATAAGAACTCAAGTGATTACGCGGTATCGCGGATGTGAATTCGCGGACGCGTTCGTGTTTAGTCGCGAGTGGAGAAATTTCAGTAATATTAAAGAAACATCGGACAATCATCAGTGATTATGACGAAATAAGAGTGTAGCGCGGAGAGAGAG